AGGCTTAAAGTAGAAAACATGCGCCGTCAAGGGTATGACAATGGTTCCAATATGAGAGGAGAAAAATCGGGAGTACAAATAAGAATCAGAAATTTTTTTCTTCCTCTTTTCGTTGGGCAATATTACTGAAATATATTGATACTTACACCCTAAAACTATTGAGTAATACGCGATGGGAAAGTCGAGTCGACTCATTAAAAGCTTTGCAGTTTCAAATTGGTTCAATTCACGATGCTTTGTACAGCATATATGAAGATTCAGAAATCGATAATATGATCAGAGACGAGGCTAGCGGATTATTAAATAATTTGAAGCAGCTTAAATTTATATGCTCTGTTGTGATCTGGTACAAAATTTTGGGTCATATTAACCCCATCAGCAAACTTTTGCAAACTGTAAATTTTAATATTGTCACAAGCTATTAATATGCTTAGCAACTGTAAACCCAATTAGTTTTTAGTTCGAGCAAAAAATTGTAAATAAAAAAAGTTAGGAAAAAAATCAGCTACAATATGTAGGTTTTAAAAAATTAATATCTGCAAATTGACAAAATTTAATTTTAGTTTCAATTTTTTATTTAAAAAACCAGGCTGTAATAAAAACATTTAAAACCTACAGATTGATAGAGGTTTCCTTCTGAATACCTTATTAAAAAATTAAATAGTTCCGATCATAAATAAGCAAGATATGAGGTAAGAGCTAAAGTAGTGTATCGCGAAAATAGCCTTAAGTAAATTGTTTAGAGAAATTGACCCGTCAATAATGGTAATAATTATTGAAAAGAAATAAATAAAGGAATATTTGTCGACATATTTTGCACTAGTGCCACGGGCTTTTGGTCCCTAAAGCAAGCCGCCATTGCGTGGAGGTACTTGCTACGTTTAGTTATTATAGTTGCACATTTATCTCGCCCAAATATTCCATTTTGATATCATCACTAAACGTCTTAAAGATGTGTAGTGTTTTTTAGCTCTTCCTCGCTCGTTTCAAATGTTCTATACTTTACTCTTTCCCACTTTTTTTTAGGAGCACCAAATGCTAAATTCTCCAGCAAGGGTCTCAAGATTTACCCCAAACTAGAAGATTATCCATTCATAGCTTCAATTCAATATTGTCATCCTACTTATGGTTACTGCTACAGCATTTGCGGTGGTGTAATTGCCAACAAAAACTGGGTATTGACCAGTACAAGTTGTATACATGAAGCTCGTAAGGTTATCGTTGGAGATTTACGCGGAAATGAATCACTTTCCGTTAATATTGCAGCTATATACAGTTATCCCAACTCCACCAATATGTAAGTTATTTTAACTTTTTATATTTGTGTATAAATAACGCAATAAAATTATATGAAATTTTATTCTCCTTTTTGACAGAACCTTTTCTTTTCATGAAAAGACAACTGACTTAACAACAACGATAAAACAAAAACATACATAGGTTGTGGGTTTGGTTCCATGCTCTATGTCAAGTGTGACAACTCGCACTCTTTGAACGCGTTAAATAATTAATAGTCTAGTCATATTCTTTCAAAAACATACACAACATTTCTTCCCTCTTTTAAAAATTAAAGCGTATGTGATTAATTGGCCGAGAATCTGGATGGTGGGAATCTCGTCCGGTTTGATCTGCGAGGATTATGTGGCGCAGGTATCCTTTGCTGTTTTGGGACAATTGGTGTCGCTGGTACAACTGACCTTTGTTGTCTCGGAGTAAGTGGAGCAGATGATGCCCCAGGAGATGCTGCAGAGGAGGCTGTTATAACCGGACTATTTGAAGGTGCTGTAAGCTCATAGAAGCGTACTGGTCTTGGTAGTTGCGTAGTCTCTAGTTGTTTTGAGTTAGCTTCAGGATCACTTAGCGGTTTTTGATCTGGGAAACATCTAATTTGGTCGATGTGTCTTTTCGCTTTTTATTGTCTCCATACTGTATCTCGTCATGGATATCTCCTAGGTGGGTAATGACAGTACCTGGAATCCATTTGTCCAACCTTGGGTTGCCAGACAAGAAGAACTTTTTTACAGCCCAAACGATGGCGAGTGCTTCTTTATCTATTTGAGGGTACCTTTTTTCCGCAGCTGACATCGTGCGACTTGCGTATGCAATTTGACGTTCCTGTCCATTACTGAGTCGGTGAGATAGGACTGCCCCCAATCCCGTACTGCTTGCGTCTGTTGCCAACAGCAACGGAAGTGACGGATCGTACTGCATCAGGACTTGCGGCGAGATCAAAATCTTCTTGATGTCCAGGTAGGCCTCTGTACCAGCTGAAGTCCATGCAAAGGGGTCCTTGAGGAGCATATCTCGAAGAGGACGTTCCCTTGTTGACAGGTCGGGGATGAAAGAGCTGTAATATGTTGCCTTGCCAAGAAAAAGTTGCAGTTCCTCCGGTGTCGATGGCTTCGGAGCATCTCGTACCGCTTGAATGTGTCCATCCGATTTATGTATCCCATTTACGTCGACCTTGTGGCCCAGGGCTTCTAGAACTGTTTTTGCGAAAGAGCATTTTGAACGGTTGAGTCTTAATCCATGTATCCTAAAACGCTCCAGTGTTGACGTTAGTGCCTGCAGCAGGTTATCAAATCGATCCGCGTAGACGATGATGTCATCAAAGAAATTGACGACATTGGGTAGATCCTGGAGAACTGTGTCCATGCGTCGCTGCCAAATAGCGGGGATATTTGCTGCTCCATACACCGCGCGTGTTGGTCTAACGAGTCCATGGGTGGGAGTATTTAGCGTTAACGCGTGACTAAATTCTTCATCAACTTCTAAGTGCGTATAAGCGTCGATGATGTCCAGGTGGCAGAATAGGGTTGCGCCTCTCAACTTGTTGAAGAGATGCTCCTCTTTTGGGATCGGATGTTCGTCAATTATGATTCTTGGGTTCAGTGTTGGTTTGTAGTTGCCGGTGATTCTTAATTTACCGTTTTTCTTGGCCACAATGTGGGTAGTTGAGGCCCATTCCGAGTAGTCGACTCGATTGTAAAATCCTGAGGCAATTTTAGCATCGATTTCCTTGGCGTATGCATCTCGTAAGGCGAGCGGTACTTCCCGCGCTCGGAATAAGACTGGCATAGCTCCTGGTTTTAACTTCATTTTCGCTGGAGGACCTGTCAGTTTGCCAGGGGTTTCTCCAAATAAATCATCATATTTGGTTAGTAAATGGTCCAGCTGTTTCTCTTGGTCGACGGTGAGGGCTTTCGGAACTTCTGTGGTGGATATTTGGTGCACTGGGGTTGGCTTGGTGAACAGGCCCTCAAAGTCTATTTCGTGCACAAATTCTGCGATCCATTCTCGGCCCAGAAGCGTGTCGAATTCTTCATTCACTACATAGAGATTGAGCGCCTTCGTGGTTGCTCCAATGGTGACGTTAACAGAGACACGACCGATACAATTGATCCGGTGGCCCGTGTAACTGGCAAAGTTTCGGTCTGTCTTCTGTAAATTAAAAACATGATCAATTTTGTCAAGATTATGTTTGCTTATAATTGAGCAAGGAGCGCCTGTATCAAGTTCCATTTTGACTGTACTGTCCTCTATCTGGACTGTCAGTATCTGTCGTCCTGGTGATGGTACTGAGCCGATGATCTCAAGTTTACTTAACCGTTGTACTGCAGTTGTACTGAGTCGATTTCATCGTTGATCTCTCCGGAAGCAAGTTCTTCCTCGGTAAGCTGGTTCGTATTTTTAGTTTTCCTGGACTTACATACCCTGGCGATATGTCCTTTTTTTCCGCATTTGTTACCTTTGCTGTTCAAGAATCTACATTGACTGCGAGGGTGTGTCTCACGACATCCTGCACATGTGTACTGGTTATCCTGGGTTCTGTCATTGTGCTAAAATTGGTTGTCGGCTGCTTCCTGTTTGTCCGTATACTTTCTTTCGCCCTTGTTGATTCCAGTTCTTACGCGATAGCGGTTTCTCGTATTCAATTTTGTTTGTAAGCTCGGTCTTCGCTTGTGTGGTATTTACCTCATCTGCTGTATTGCGCATGACTTCCAGCGCATGTGCAATTTCGTACGCGTCTGTGAATGATGTCGGTTTCTTCGAAATTATTTCGTCACAAATTTCTCGAGATTCCAGACCCAATAGTAGTTGTTCTATCAACATCCGGTCGAGAAATGTATCATATTCGCAATACACGGCGGCCTGCCTTAACCTCAACGAGAAGTTGGCAATAGTTTCCCCTTTATTTTGTCTGATCTGTCGAAACTTTATACTTTCGGCGAATTTATTTCGAGTTGAATCGAAGTGGCGTATCAGTTTCGATCTTATTTCATTGTAAGTGTTTCTGGATCAACAGGGCTCACCAAAAACTTCAGTGCGTCATTAAGCTCGGGCCCCATATAGACACGTGCGTAACTTGCGTGTTTGTCTTCTGGAATTTTGCTCAGCTCAAGTGCCCAGGAGAAGCGCATGAAATAGTCGCTGATCATGGTTGCATCGGTGGAACGATACGATCCCATGGCGAACGGAGGCGGGCGCGGAAATGCTGCTGTGGCAGCGGCTTCTGTGGTAACATTAGTCGTGGAGGCTTGGATTGCGTTAGCTATCATGCTGGAGACAGCCTGAAGTAGTTCAGGAGTAACTGTCGGAGTGGCTGGCATCGTTGGTGATTACTAAGTTGATGCAGGAACACTATATACTTTCGATCCCACTTCTGACACCACTTTTATATTTGTGTATAAATAACGCAATAAAATTATATGAAACTTTATTCTCCTTTTTGACAGAACCTTTTCTTTTCATTCATAAAAAGACAACTGACTTAACAACAACGATAAAACAAAAACATACATAGGTTGTGGGTTTGGTTCCATGCTCTATGTCAAGTGTGACAACTCGCACTCTTTGAACGCGTTAAATAATTAATAGTCTAGTCATATTCTTTCAAAAACATACACAACATAACCTTTTTTGAAAAGTATAATAAATGATTGTCCTGGAGCGTCTATCCAAAATAATTTAGATACCAATAATATCAATTTTTTTTTCAGGTCCGGTCCAAATGACCTTGCTCTATTTAAGTTAGCTGAAGATCTCACCTTTAATCACAAAGTGCAACCAGCAAAATTACCAACTCAAGGCCAAGAATTCAGCGGTACAGCTGATTGGGTAGGTTACGCCACCTCATTCTTGCCTAATCAAAACTTTCTTAATGGCGGGATTAATGACACCCTTATTTCTAACGATGGTAAGTTTCGTTTAGCAGCACAAGTATAAACATTAAATTATTAAAAATTTTAGACATGTATAGCACATTTTCTTTGTAAGTTTTACCAAAATTTTCTATCATCAGTTAGTTGGAATAGATTCTCTATATTTACAGTTTACAATAACTTTGTATCAAACCTAAATACTCACAAATTAAGAAACTAAATTTAACCCTACGTACAAAGACATAATCAAAATCAAGAAACCATGTATTACTTCAGAAAACGCATCAGTGTGCAAAGAGGATGTTCTTTTGTTCTCCAATGAATCGAACTATAAATAAAAATTGATAGGCAGGCCCTTGTCCCTCCTGAACCGGTAGGCACTGGAGGTCCCAATCCGACAATTCTCTAAACCAGTGGTTCTTAAACTTTTTTGGTGACGGAACCTTTTTGAAAAGTGAAATATTTGACGGGGCCCTAAAAAAAGTCCTTCTTGCTCTAACCTCTTGCCAGATTCCTTTCATTTCTATGCGGAGCTCCTACAACGAAATTCTCAAAATCATACACGCCTTCCTCTTTCTGACTTCTAAAAAAAAAGCTCCTTCAACCCGAAAAACCAAAATTGTATAGTATACTATTTTTCTTCTACCTGACTTCTAAAAAAAAAAGATACTCTCAACACAAAATACCTCAATCATATACTCGTTCCTCTTCCTGACTTCTAAAAAAAAAGGTCCTCCAGCCCAAAATCCCCAAATACCTAAATCCTTAGATTAAAGAGACCGAAGATGTAACATTACACACTGCGCATGTTGTCTATTTTAAGCCAAAGTAACCCACCAATTGAAAATCATTGTTGCACGACGCCACCCGAATTGCTCCGATTTCACCTGAGTTTAATCACCATTGACAGCTGTTTTTTGATTTATTTGTTGGTACTTTAGCAATTTAAAGTGCTCTAGTTAATCAATTTCAAGTTCAAAATGTCACGATGTATCTTGAAAAATTTTATGTACTTATAATACAAGTACTACTGTTATGAATATATTCGTTTTTAGCGGTAAATATTTATTAACGTTTTGATATAAAGCGCCATGATTCTCTGGGCTGAATACTTCAGATCCGCATTAAGAGGTTTCAATAAATATTAAGCATCAGAAATTAGCTTTCATATTACTTACATAAATTTACAAAAGGGTAAAATGTTGAACATTTAATTTAAATAAATAGTAAATAGGCATTATTGCTAACGAAATTTTGTATTTAAAAAGTAGTTTTATAAGAATGTTTTCTAAAGGTAGTTTTTAGCCCTTTTTGGTAGATAAATAAGAGGTAAAGAATCATAGTTGCTAGCAAAATTTTATTTTTATAAGGTATTTTTATAAGAATATTAGATGAAATACAGGATGACCTACTTAAAATTTCAAGGTTCATCTTATTTGCGGTCAAATCGAAAGTGACATTGAATTTTCAGTCTTAAAACAAAGTAATCTAGTATAAGCAAAAAAAAATACTAAAGTTACAGGAGTTAGGTCCGATTCCACCGTTGTGTTAAACGGAGATTAAAATGACAGTGTTAATGTAAAAATGTCATTTTAAACTTCGTTTAACACAACGGTGGAATCGACCCTTAGTCACGTTAATAAAATGTTACATTACAAACCCCTAAACAACTCGAACATAATTTTCGTTTACTAAAAAAAATCCAAAATTTAGCAATATTTATTTATTATACAATCGAATGCGATTTCAAAGATAACTGGATCAAAAAATCCGAATCTCTAAATTTTGGAGCTAAATAATCAGATAAAAGCAAGCGACCGATAGGGGTTACAAAAATAATCGATTTATCGATAATTCTAATATTTTTTAATGAAAATCGATTTATCCGCTGTTTTTAATAAATTATTTTCGTTTTTTTTAAGATAATGTATTAATCGATTTTAAAGGAAATACAATAAAAGTAGATTTTTTCAAAATAATCGATTTATCGTTTAATCGGTTTTTTAATTATTTGATTATTTTCAATTTTTCAAAGATATTATATGAAAATATTCGATTGGATATAATCGGTTATTTTACATAATCGATATTTTGGTTATTTTTTTAAAATTATCGATTTATTGGATAATCAGCTTTTTAATAATCAATTATTTTCGATAATCGAATAATCAATTTCAAAGGAAATATGAAAAAAGGATTATTAGAAAATAATAGATAATTCGTTTTATTTTTTGGAAAATCGATTTATCATAGAATCGGCTTCTTAATTAATTGGTTATTTTCGATTAGGCGATTATTTTGGAATTATTGATTATTTTTGGTATTTCAAAGATAATAGAATTATCGATTTTAAAGGAAATACAATAAAAATAGATTATTGATAATAATCGATTGATCGAAAATAATCGATTATTTAAAATAATCGATCATTCTGTTTTTTTGAAAATCGATTTGTCAGTTAATCGACTTTTTAATTAATCGATTATTTTTGAAATACAATAAAATAGATTATTGGTAATAATCGATTTATCATAGAATCGGCTTCTTAATTAGTTGATTATTTTCGATTAGGCGATTATTTTGGAATTATCGATTATTTTCGGTATTTCAAAGATAATCGAATTAACGATTTTAAAAGAAATACAATAAAAATAGATTATTGATAATAATCGATTGATCGAAAATAATCAATTATTTAAAATAATCGATCATTCTGTTTTTTTTTAAATCGATTTATCAGTTAATCGACTTTTTAATTAATCGATTATTTTTGATTTTTCAAAGATAATCAAGTAGTTGATTTTAAAGGAAATGACAAAAAATATATTGTTTAAAATAATCGATTATTTTCAAAGATCGATAATTTATTTCGATAATCACTCATCCCTAGCGACCAAATGACTTTTAATAGATTTCAATTTTAAAATGTTATCTGGTTTCAGACATATGCATTTCTAGAGTTTTATGTGACTCATCCTTTATAATAATTAATATTCTTAAAGAAAGAAGCCTTAATATACTTTTTTCTGAGGTTACAATACAAAACAGCATTTTCTCATTTTGACTAATTTTTAATAATATGTAATAGCCGTAGAAAAAATATAATGTTCAACTCATAAGGGTAGATTTGCAGTATTAGCCTGCGCACATGCTATTTTTATAATACTCGTAGACAATGAGTAACATTTTTTGCTCTATTAACAATATACTATTTCAACATTTTACTGTAATCTCTTGCAGAAAAGTCCGTAGTAAATAAACGCTAACGAAATATTCTATAAAAGGTCTTCTCTTTACATAAAATGTCGTGGCATCTGTTTGATATTAAAAAATCACGTTAATTTTATTTCATAATACAAAATTCGATTAAACACCTTTTAAATAAACCTAATAGTTCATGAAGATGCTAATAAACAAAGTCCGGTCCCTGTCACAGAGTTCGGGTCGCCGCGTGTCGCCGCCCAGTTCCCCCACTCCGTTAACCCTTCTTTAGAAATTGGCAACATTTGCGCAGGTTTAAAACCGGTGTATGTTATATCTCTGGTCTCTTTTATCTAAGCCTAAATCATATAATTCCTAAAAAAAGGTCCTCAACCCAAGTCCCCTTGTAGCGATAGGGCCCCACAAAGGCTTTGCGGAGCCACAAGGCTTTCGCGGACCACACTTTGAGTAACGCTGCGCTAAACGAATATTTTGGGTGCACTTCAAAATCTTTGTACCAATAAAATTCTACCCCTTGAGACTACACATGACGCCTTTAAATTTTTTTACGATTGGTGTAAAAAGGTCTTTTGATTGTAAGCAAAATAAACAATTACATTGTTAGGAAAAGTATAATAAAACTCTGACTAGGAAAAATTCCTAATGTTTTGGTAAAAGGCCTTAAAAACTAGTGTGTTTGTAACGCGATTTAAATAAATAATATTAGGTCGGTTGATGCAGAGAGTTTATTTATAAATTGATTTAAAAACTGTTAAAATGCCTATTGTAAACTCCTTTTTTAACATATTTTAATAAAATTTTGGTAAATTAATTTTCTTTGTAAACTTTTTAAGCAGACAGACTTTGTGTTTAATACCTATAATGTAAAAACAAACTATTTTATCCTTTTAGATTGTAAAAAAGCCATCAAGTCATTTGTCCTAAACGTAGACGGTACTTTATATGACAGCAACATATGTACCTTAAGCAAAGCAGCAACCACTAGCCTAGGTGACGTCGGTGGTCCTCTATCTCAAAACGGAACCGTCATCGGTACTGTCTCATGGTACATTTCTCCAACCTCGTTAGAAGGAGGTCCAAATGTGTTCACCAAGCTGTCTAACTTCATTGACTGGATCGAAAAAACCATTGCTGAAAATAATTAAATTGTATGATTTTGTATGATTCTTATTTTTTTGTGGGAATTAAATATAATCTAATGATCATATATCAAAGAAAGGTTTTTTTATGTTTCCTAAAAAGGTTTTAAATCTTCGTGATGTACCTTTACAGAACACAGTGAGATGATGCAGTCCCTATAGTTATATTATTTAAATATTTATATATAACTGACAAATAAACAAAAATTGATTATTTTAAGTTTGATGTTCATTTCAGTAATTACCAAAGCAAGTAGTTAAATTTTTATGTTGTTTTTTTACTTGAAATTATGTATATAACAGTCACAAATAGTTTTTTTTATTTACAATACACATCATAATTATACCTACTAAAAATCTGTTGCCAAACATAAAATTTCTTCGGATGATTTAAATTCAAACAGTATTGCAAGTTAATGTGTTTACATTACAACTGTTAAAAACGTAAACTTGGCATCATGTTCGATCAGATTGTTGTGTTTCTGCCGCGGACACCAACGTTGGAGCTTCAGAAATTTTGTAAATAATTTTATCTATCTTGGTTATAACTATATCTATGGAAATAATCATGCAATTATAATGTAGCACGCCACTGTAAAACTAAAGCAGGGTCGCCTCTGATCCTAGGTTCAGGGCGCGTAATCAAATGTGGAGGCCATCACTATAATATAATTGAAGTCTATTTAAATTTAATTTACGCCAGATGTAAACAGAAGCAGGTGGACGCTAAAATTGAGCAGGGCCGTATTTTACTTTTCCGTCTTGCAAAAATGTAAAATAAAAGAGTGTAATTGTGAAATTATTTTTTTATTACGATAAAAACATATTTTGTAAAGTAAAACTATAAAATAAATGCCATACACGGTCTCCCAGAGTTTAGTGACATTTCTGGACGAAGATAGGTGAGCGACATAAACTGCATTAACCTGCAATACAAATTAATAAATGATATAGAGCATTAAAACAATCATATTATAAAATTATATTGTACAGGGTGTCCAAATAATTGCAAATTCTTTAATAGCTAATATATATCTACTAAAAGCATTAAAAAAACTTTAAATAGGTATAAGAGGTATTTGGTATTTGATTTAAAATTGTGCATCTTAAAAAGAAACCTTTTGTATTTTTGATAACTTTTGTTCTTTATTGTTCTTGTTCAACAAGTATTTAGATTAGACAACTTGTACCCTGTATTATAGCAATCTTCCTTACTTGACTTAGCACTATTCTGAATCGGATAAATTAGTTAGACTTGAAAGGCTATCTTCATTAATCAAAATTACAAGTGGTTCTACCTGAACCTCTATAATATTATCCAACTCCCACATTTTTACTTCAACTTTTTGGCGAACATGGTCGATACACTTTTTCCATTTTTCTGGAGAAATTAATAATATTACTTCTTCAAAAAGAATTTTAATGTCTCCAGATTTAAATGTTGAGTTTTTATCTGCTACGTATTGTTTAACGTCAATCTAGATTAATTCAATAGGGTTAAGTTCACAATGATACGGAGACATGTGAAGTATTATGTTGTTTTGCTGCTTAGCCATTTCATCTATTACATACCTATCATAATGTTTATGTTGTTTACCAAGTTTTAGAAGTTGGATCTTAAGCATTTGGTAATCGAATTCAATTTTTTTCCCTTATAGCCATTTTTAAATATCACCTTTTTTAGACGTCGTAGATATTTTTTCCATCTTTCTCGAATAATAATGCAGTTATCTTCTAATTTTGGTAGGGTGTTTGAAAACCACTCTTTGAACGATTCTCCACACATTTCTTCATGGTAGTCACCGGATTTTTCAACTCAAATACATAAAGTGCATTAGAGACAAAGCCTTCTTCACTTCCAATATGGCATATGAGCTGTTTTTACGCACATACCTGATGGGTTTTTAAAACCAGTTAAAAGTTCATCCAAAAAGGCTTATCTGGATGAAAAAACCGACATATCGAAACATACTTTTGATTTGGTGTGGCCTGCGTTAATCCAAGTCTCATCAAGATAATATATTTTTGCTTTTCTTCTCTGTACCGTTTTATTTTTTGTGGCGTAGGATGAAACAATTTCATTTTTGTCTAAAAGCAAACTATTTTTTCCTCGAGTTTAAAATTTAAAATTAAGGGTTTTGAAAAGCTTGTAAAATGTAGCTCGCTTAAAAGTAGACAAATATGGATCAAAGTTGACTTCTTATAAAAACTTATCAATTGTTAATTTCTAAAGAAGAATTGATGTACTTTGCGCCTTATTGCATTTTTATCAAAATCATCCACATAGCCACCAATTTGTTTATAACGTAGCTTTCTTTTTGGTTCAGAAAATTTATGAATCTGCCTATACTCCTTCATAACATTAAAAACGGTTTTAGCGCACATCCCTGTTTTATCAGCAACTCTCCTTTCAACATCATGTACTAACATATCAGGATTCTATAAAATTTAATGCTTATAAATATTAAGAACCATTTCTTTAGTACGGATGACCAAATATCCCTTTTTCAGTCGCTTTTTAGAAGGAGTAAAACCATTTTTCTGGACTTCATCTGCTGTATCTGTGGAGGACATAGTGTCACGCAGCAATTACAAAATATAGTCAATTAAATGTCCATAAAATAGAGTAAAACATGTTCAAACTAACAACAACCACAAAAACAAAAAAAATAAATAACACAATATATGTATATCTAAACTATAATATAATGAATTATAATCAATCAAACATACAAAATGTCCAAACTAACCAACACGGTGAATGTTACCGAAACGCCGTTTATAATTATCTAAATTGAACTGAATTCGACTCTGACAAAAAATATTTGCGCGTCGTCTAAATGACTAACGACCGATTAACCAATAGAAGCGCAAAAAAATATCACGTGAGCTGTTGCTGGATGGGAGAAATTGTTTTGACGCGGCGTAAATTAAATCTGAATAGACTTTACTAATCCAATTTAAATAATACTTAAACGCATTTTTAAAACTATAAAATTTGTAGATGTTAAAAAATGTTAATGAATTTAATGCCTACGTGATATAAGCCATAATTGTATCTACTAATAATGAGAATTAAACAGGTCCACATAGATATATGGAATTCCTAGATTCAATTATATTACATTGATAAAATTGATTATAACCTACTATAAATTAGACATCACAAAAACAATATTTTATCAGAAATCAGAAATTACAAAATGTTCAGTGCTAAAGTTGTTATCTTCCTCGCTTCTCTAGCAATATGCTATGGTAAGTAAAAGTTTCTTGATTTATAATCATTTTTGCTATTTTCATAAGCTTTTTATTCCACACATTCAAGAATTTTGCAATTTTAAAAGTAAATCATATTATAATTTTAAATATGATGGGATAAATAACTAGAGCTGTACATATTTTTTAAATACACTATTCAGTTTAAATCAGTTAAAAAACAACTGTATAGCTATTTACATTATCTGCTGTAGGGGCAGTGGCGGCTGGTACCTTAAAGCAGTGTTGATGCCAGTCTACCCAGATAGCACAGGACGTCCTAAGGACGTCCAATTCATGTCCATTTAACGTCTGTACGTCCGGGACCTATTATGGACGTTTTAAGTATGTCCAGTTTAGTAAATCCTCGGGACGTCAAGAAATAGATATCCGCAAAACGTCAATTGTACGTGCTTTACTATATTTCCATGGATTCACATTCGCATTGTATTATTATTTGGTTATATTATACAAAAAACATATATAATAAGATAATATAATTAATGATTAAAGATGGCATTGTCCCAATATCCAATTGAATGAAGGCCAAATAGACAAAACCAAAGAAGATCTTTGGCAAGAAAGTGACATTGTTGACAAGTGACTTTTTATTTTTATTTATTTAGATATGATTCTGATTCAGATTCAAGCATTGAAGTGAAATATTCCCAGGGCTCAGATTTTATTAAAAAAAAGTGTTCAGTATTCATGATTCGATGGTATATACATATTATACGAGTACAAGTTCTATCATTCTAGGACTACACGATAACTCCACCGCACAACACATAAATCGTGGCAGTTTCAGTTTCAAACATTTATTTACACAGTTTTAAAATATTTACAATTTCAAATATTCACAATACATATTTATAGGATTTCTTCGCGCTTTGTCTTCTGCCGAAGTGTTCCTATTAGCCCCTATGGGGCCGTTACCGATGTCATGGCTTTATGTATCGTATCAATTTGTGTTACATTACATTTAATATGACTTCTCCTTGCTTAAATCAGCATAATAAGTCAACTAAGAGGGGCTAACTAGACAATATTTGATTACGTGTTGTAGTTTTTGTCTGATTTTAATTATGTCTTATGTTCCCTGAAAAACTAGTCTGAAAAAACAGGGTTGTCTTTGTGAGTGTGTACGTTGGGTGGTAGTTTACGTGCATGTTTAATCAAATCACTCGACTGCACAGTGATTTCCCCGTCCAGAACAGGGACCATGGCAAGCCAAAGCTCCCGCAACTGGACGATGACGTCACCGAGCAGTCTTCCGTCCGACTACTTTTGTCAAGAAGTTGGTTTTGTGATTTGATTATTCAGTGTTGTCTTGTTGTTATGGAGGAATGTACGTCTTTTTCCTGTCTACCTGTCTCGTGTGTATATTGTCAGTGCACTATGCAGACATCCATGTCTCCTGTCTGCACCATCTCTATCAGATATTGTTAAAATGTCCTCTAGGATGTTGTTTGGGAGGCACTTTTCATAAAAATTGTTTGATAATTTAAGAATGTGAGTTTTGATGGGATCAATGGATGTTTGCACATGCATGTCGTTTATCCTGGCATAGCGGTTGTATCCCAGAGCCAGCCTAAGACACTTATTTTGCATTGTTTGCAACTTTTGATAGTGAGAGTTTGCCATGGAGCAGTAGACTGGGCATCCATATGTTAGTATTGGCCGCAATACTTGCTTGTAGAGCAATAATTTATTTTCTACGGTGACTCCACTTCTCCTGTGGAGCATGGGGTATAAGGCTTTGAATGCACCCATGGTTTTTCCATATCTGTCTAATATGTGGTGTTTGAACGTTAGCCTCCCGTCTAATATGAAACCTAGGTATTTTAGTTTATTTTTGGCTTGAATTGATTGATTTTGGACTTTTAAATTAGTTATAATCGGATTTAGTTTCTTTCTTGTAAGTAGTAGGCTTTCTGTTTTAGATACATTTAATTTGATTTTATTATGCTCTAGGTAGGGGACTAACGTTCTATTCACATGGATGTCCAGTCTCCTGGTGGCGATTTCAGCAGAATCTGAGGATTTAAATATGCAAGTGTCGTCGGCGTACAAGGCCGTCTGTATACCATTACTACCCATTGGTAGATCATGGGTCATAATAGTATACAGATGCGGCGCAAGTACTGAACCTTGGGGTACACCCGCTTGCGCAGTGTAAGGTCCGCTTCTATTATTATTTATTTTGATGTGGAATTTACGGTGATGTAGGTAAGTTTGGATTGTTTTTACAATGGCAACAGGGTAGTCATGCATAAATATTTTGTATATTAAACCGTCGGTCCAGACGGTGTCAAAGGCCTTAGCAGCATCGAGTGCAACGAGTACGGTTTGTTTATCATTGTTATAGGCTTTTTTAGCATGATGGGCTATTCGTATGATTTGTGCTACGGTGCTGTGTCCGGCTCTGAAACCGTACTGTTCCGCCGGAATAATAGGGTTGTCATGTTCGTATGTCTGTAGTCTTGTTAATAAGACACGATCTGCAATTTTGGCTAAGCCATTTAATAATGATATTGGGCGGTAGCTTTCCAGTTCACCCTTGTTTTTTCCCACTTTAAGAATGGGTACGACATTAGCTGTTTTAAGAATATTGGGGTACCATTGTAGTTTAATTATTGCATTGATCAAGTAGTGAAGTTGGACCACAGCTTTTTTTGAAAGGTTTTTCAGCAATATATTGTGAATGCCATCGGGTCCCGGGGCAGTTTTGCTACGTGTACGCTTGATAATTTCTATTATCTCTTTTGGAGATGAGAGTAGACTGTTATGAACCTCCTGAATGCCCATATTTCTGATGTCTGATACTATGTCAGTGATATTTTGTTGTTCAGCGTTGTTTTGCTGGGGGTTTACGAAATTTTCCTGAAAGAATTCGCCGAAAGCGGACCCTTTTTCCTCGTCTGTCGTGTATATGTTATCGTTGTGTCTCAGTGTGGGAAGCTGCAAGAAAGGTTTTCGGAATTTCCTTACAAATTTCCACACTGAGTTGTCTTGTGTGTTTACCGCTTCCAGGGTTTTGCGCCATTGTAGATTTCTGTGTTCTAAAATTAGTCTATTTATGGCTTTGCCAATATCTAAGAGTCTTACCCTGTCAGCGGCTGTCCTGTCCGTTTGCCAGCGTCTACGTAAGTGATTTTTGTTCTTTATCATGTCTAAAATCTCTTGAGGAAGTTCGTCCTTATATGATTTCCTTACCGTTACTTTTGTTGACTTGTCCCTAGCTTGTAGGATATTATTTGTTAGTTTGACAAATTCTTCCTCAAGAGAGTTTTTGTCCGTGATGTTGTTAGTAATTTTTATGTTTTCGTCCAGTGATTTCCTGTAAGTCTGCCAGTTTGTCATTTTGTAGTCATAATAATGACCCTGTATTCTCGGAATTATGCGTTTTGTCATAATTTCCAGGTATACAGGGTCATGATCAGATGTTAGTGTCTTAATCGTCCTTGTGTTGTCGATGTTAGGGAGGTTTTTAGCTACCGCTATGTCTAAGGTGCTGGGTGTATATCCGGAGTAGGAAAAGTAGGTAGGGTCTTCGGGATAGTGGATAATCAGGTCGTTATCATCGGCGAATTCGTTCAGGTTTTTACCGCTTTGATTGGGGGATGTACAATTTGCGTCCCACCCGGGATGCTTACTGTTAAGATCACCTAGCAAAAGTACCCTATTACCCGATGACATTATCGTGTTCATTTCGCTTTTTAGGAATTTATTACTGGGACTATTGTAAACTCCCACAAATATTATGTTGTTAATTTTTATTACAATGTGTTCTTGAGATATGTTTAGTTGATGCATTCTAGAGTATGCTATTTTATTACTTATAAAGAACGCTACCCCACCCCCTGTTTGATCAGGCCTATCGTGTCTTATTACGTCATAGTCTGTGATTTTAAAGTTAAAGTTTGGTTTGAGTTTAGTCTCTGATAAGAAAATTATGTCGAATTTATATTTATGCACGAAACTGCGAACAAGAGAAGATTTGTTCCGCATCCCATTAACATTGTAGAAACAAACTTTGAGTTTTTGTGTGTCTCGTTCCAAGAGTTCAGTTCTTAAGGTTAAAATTGATGTCTATGTTGGTCATGAAAAGATTATAGGTCTCAAAGACTTCTTGTCCATTTTTACATTCAATTAATTTAGCGTTAAGCGCTCTGACTGCTCTAGTTAGCTCCCCTATGTTGACTAACCTGTTTAACGTAGCGAGTTCTGTGTTTAAAGCCGTGATATCGTTCATTGCCCCTGTTGGAGTTGGAGGGTTGCTTCTTCTAGGGTTTTGTGGATTATTATCTCTTTTATTATTATTATTATTAGGTAGTTCTGGGAACTCTTCTCTTTGGTTGGTGGCATTTTGCTTGCTATTTCTGGCATTCCAGTAATTTATTGCTGGTGGTGGAGCAGGAACCATCTTAGGCTTTATTTTTGGCCTCCTTTCTTCGAGCCTATCTAGTTTGTCCGTGTACGCCTTACATTTAGTGTAGTTCGCAGGGTGATCACCCCCGCAGTTGACACACGTGGCCGGAGTGTCTCTTGATTTTACACACGTGCGGGTATGGTGATCCCCTGCACATTTCAGACATTGGGAGGGCCTCCCACAATTGGCGGTAGCGTGCCCCCACTGCTGGCAGTTGTGGCACTGTATAATCTGCTTGGCTGACTTGCGGAGTTCCCACGTGACTCTTGTGTGTAGAACAATTCTTGTATTTCTGTTTAGGTAGTCTAAAGTCAGCGCGGGGTCCGTCACCACCAGGAATAGGGGTCGCTCTTTCGTTTTCATCTGGTAAATTGCACGTGGTTTTATATCGTGTTCCTCCTCGAGGTCTTCTTCAATGTCTGAAATCTTTGTACCTTCGGCTAGTCCTCTGAGAACAAAGGCGTGGGATTTATCGTCTCTATGAGTGTATGTGTAATAAGACATTTTTTCGTCTTTCATGTTTTTGAGGACTTTAGAGTGATCGTCTTTGCTTTCAACAAAAAGAACCGTTGTATAGTTAGTGTGTTTCAATGAGAATTCTCCGGTAACTATGTTTTTTAGGTCGTTTATTAGTTCTTTTTGGTTTGTTGTCTTCCCATCAATGACAATCGGAGGCATTATGGTTTTGTTTTTGTGTGAGTTGTTTTTATTTGAGGAATTTTTCCCTGAGTTATTTGTAGGCTTAGTGGTGTCATTTGGCGTAGGTCTAGGCGGGATGTTTTGTTTGTCTTTTTCATTGATAATTAGAGGTGTAAATTTTGCTCCTTTTTTCCGCTTTTTTACTATTTTTCCTATTTCATCTTCTAACTCAGAGTCAGAATCGGTCAATACTTGGAAAGTATTTTTAGTTGGCGTTAGAGTTTTTTTTGTTTTTTCCCTAATTAACTTAGTGAAATTCGAACTAAATTTCCTCGGTAATACAAAGGGTTCTTCCTTTTTTTTGGCAGCTTCTGCTTCCTCCTGTTCTTTTAACTCTCTTAGGTATTGTTCCCTTTGAGTTTGGGATCTCACCTCAAATAAACTATTTGGGGAATGTGGAAGGTCATGATAGTTATCCTTTTTTGTAGCTCCTCTCATGTCATCTTCTGACGTGTGACTTTCATAGTGTAGGATATTCTCTACTACGCTGCTTGGGACATCTGTTCTTTTTAGTCTGGGGTCTGAGTACGATCTCCCCCTTGAGGAAGGGTCTCCCCTGGGGTCTCTTGGGTTATGTTTTGAGTGAGATGGGATAGCAGTGTGTCCAGTCGAAGAACTACTCAGTTCATCCTTCTTTTGTCCACACTCTTTCCCGTCTGTAGGTTTGTATGGAATGAAAGGTGGTATCATCCCACTAAAATCATTTGTTCTGAAGTCCAGGAATTTGGCTATTACGTTGGGGGGTAGTGGTAGAGTTTTTATGGGGTTTTTCGGGGGGTTATCTGCTTTTACATAGTCAGATTCAAACTTGTCATTTTCAGTGTTATTTTGTTCCGTCTCTGTGTTGGATTCACCAACTACAGTTGTATCCATGGCGTTATCCGAGCTCTGGATTGACTCATCAGATTTTTCCAGTATTTTTATTAGATTTTCTACATCTTTACTTGGGTTTTTTGCAGTTTTATCCTCGTTGGGGCTATTAGTGCTGTCTAAAGATTCCTGACTGTCATGGAATTCCATGTCTTCCGAGCCAGTCATGGAGGGCTTTGGGGAGCCCGTATCCCCTATTGTCGGGCTGTTTGTGTCTGTATTTGTGGTATTGAGTCTTTGACGGTCATCTGAAGGTCGAATTTCAGGAATTTTGACCGGGAGGTCCCCCTGGATGGTACTATTGACCCCAGGTGTTAAGTTAGTATCCACACAGTCAGTACTCACTGTGTATGGTATATTCTGCTTCAGTTTGGTCTTTTATTTTCTCGGAGTGTTAAGTTTGGCGACTTTTTGTATTGCTTCTGTGTCTACCCGGCATTTATTTTTCAGCCTCTTTGTGTATGTGGTTTCGAAGCCTTCTTCTTCAATTTTGTGGGCCCTTTCGGGCTCTGGTTTGGTCCGGTTCCCTATGGGAATGTTATTACTTACGCTGGCGAGGAGTTATACTATGAAAAATTGGAAAAATATTTATTTGACAGCTGTCACAATGTGATAAACAATAAATCGACGTGGATTTGCTCAACTATACCCTAGACGAGCTCTAGGTAAACATAAATCGTGGCAAGCCTCGACTTCAGTACCAGGCGATGACGTCACCGAGCAGTCTTCCGTCCGACTCAAGTTGGTATCTAGTCTGAGGAGGATAAAGGTATGGCTCTCGGTAGGTGCTCTGGAGACCGATCCATCGTTCAGTCCGTCGTCCGACTAGATTGTGTAAATATCTAGTCTTGATGAGCTGTTATTTTATATTTCTGTCGCTGTTGAAAAATAAGGATGTGGTTGTCTACCGTTTGAGTCTGTAAATGTCAAGTTTTGCATGTATACAGCCGTGTTTTCTACGCACGTCATCCCCCCGATGTATGCTTAGGATAATATCCCTAACATCATCGGGAAGACACCGCTTGTAGAAATTCTCAGCAGTTTTTAATATGTAATCTTTAATTAGTGGGGTGTCTGTCTGTCTGTGCATTACTGTAATTCTGGCACCGACAGCACTAGACGAAAGCATTTGTTTTGTATTTCTAATTTTGTGTAATAACAGTGTGCTATAAGAGCGTAAGATGGTATTGAACATCAGTAATTTATTTGACAGAGTGACTCGGCTTTTCCTATTGAGAATAACATATAGAGTTTTAATTGCCACGTGATTCTTAGCCACTCTGTCTTTTTACATGTAAGTCGAATGTTAATCCTTCGTCTAACAGAAAATCGGCGATATTTACTTTCGAAATTACCAAAATTGTTTCCACTATCTGGAAAGTCGGCCGGGATTGACAATGGTGCGATTTTCTGTTCTTCATCCTCCGAATTATTTTTGAAAAGTATGTGGAACACTGATGAGTTACTTTTGTCTTTATCACCTTTCTTCATTCTTTCGTTTGCCACAAATTTTGAATCACGCGACGAGTGGCTTTAGTGTCAGGAGTGGTTTGAATTAGGGGCTTTTTCTGGATCTGGCTCATTGTTATAAAAACAGCACAGACTGACATAAACCCAACAACTGCGACGTAAAATTTAGGGCAAATTCTATTTTGATTTCATTACTAAACGTTTTAAAATCATCCCTATAAAATAGATATCTCACTTTATTCTTTTCCACTTTTCTTTTAGGAGCACCAAATGCTAAATTATCCAGCAAAAAACTGAAGATTTCCCCTGGCGTTGACGTCAAAATAGAAGATTACCCATTCGTAGCTTCCGTTCAATGGTGTAATCGTATTTATGGTATTTGCGAAAACATTTGCGGTGGTGTAATCGTCAACGAAAACTGGATATTGACTAGTGCGAGTTGTGCATTTGAAGCTCGTAAGGTTATTGTTGGAGAGTCCGACTTAAATGCAAAACACAAAGTTATCGTTAACGTTGCAGCTAAATACAAGCATCCTAACTTCACTAACAAGTAAGTTTTTCTAATTTTCGTTTAGAAGTACCTATATTAAATTACAGTCTAGCCTTACATTAGTGTTACATTAGTTTGTTTATTCTACGAAAATAATGACATGTGGCTAAAAATTTGCTGAGGGTAATTGTGTTTGAATATAGTTAGAACTTTTTATATTATCTTGATAATTGTAGTAATAAATTACATTAATTAAAATATATTAATGGTGCTTACTCCGTTTATGTAACAAAAAACTGGCTTTGTTTATTTTTCTATTATTAAATTTACGAGGTATCTTCCATATTTAAACTATTGTAAACAATGCCTCCAGTAAACTATAAGAAGTGTTCAGCTTCAATTACTAAAAGCAGTTACAGCATTGGCTACAGTAAATATAAAAAATATTTTCATAAGGATGTCTGTCGTGACTTGAATAATTTTACCAAGGATTTGAAAAATCCTACAGGTAAAGGATTCGTTTGTCCAATCATGTAGGCCCACTATGTGTTCCGCTGTTCCTTTATCCGATGATTCCTTATTTAATAAAATTAAAGATTAATTTGTTGGTAAGCTAGAGTCTCATATTAAACTAGTTCATGATGAAAATAAAAATCTAATTGCCAAATATGACCAAAGAATCAAATGTTTGGAAGATGCAGTACTCTCCTTAAATATTGAGATTAATTATTTTTATGGACTAATAAATATTCTTCATATAATACCAAATTTTTTTCAGGTTCGGTCCAAATGACCTTGTTCTACTTAAGTTATCTGAAGCACTGACCTTTAACGACAAAGTGCAACCAGCAAAATTGCCAACTAAAGGTCAAGAATTCAGCGGTACAGCTGTTGTGACTGGTTACGGGGACCCTTACCTTCTTGACCTCAACAATCTCAAAGCCGTCCCTAATGTGACCCTCATTTCTAACGCTGGTAAGTATTTTTTTAGCAGCATGAACATAAAAATAAGATTATTGAAAGTTTTAGAAATTTATAGCATATTTTAGAAAATTTTGGTTGCAATAATATTTTTATGAGTTTTACCAAAATTGTCTCACGCCATAGATGAAATAGCTTTTAGATTTGGAATTTCGAGTACGATAACTACCAATAGGGGACAACAATTAGAGAACTATTAAACTCAAGGTTAAACCTTATAGGTACCCACACCGCCTATCATCCAATGTCCATTGGTATTGTCGAGAGATTTTCAATAAACATATTAAAATCTCTCTAAAATGTCAATCGAGAGTACAACGGCTTTTATAGATTTATATTATTAATTATTTATTTAAAAACTATTAAAAGTCGTATTGTGAACTCTTTTTACTTTCCTATCTGTATACAGATATAAGGAAAGTATAGGAATCATGATTTTTTTCGACCTCGAGTTTTCGACGGATTTTTACGTTTTGAGGTCCCCTGAATCCGTTTTGACTATTTTCGCGATGATGTGTGTGTGTGTGTGTGTGTGTGTGTGTGTGTGTGTGTGTGTGTGTGTGTGTGTGTGTGTGTGTGTGTGTGTGTGTGTGTGTGTGTGTGTGTGTGTGTGTGTGTGTGTGTGTGTGTGTGTGTGTGTGTGTGTGTGTGTGTGTGTGTGTGTGTGTGTGTGTGTGTGTGTGTGTGTGTGTGTGTGTGTGTGTGTGTGTGTGTGTGTGTGTGTGTGTGTGTGTGTGTGTGTGTGTGTGTGTGTGTGTGTGTGTGTGTGTGTGTGTGTGTGTGTGTGTGTGTGTGTGTGTGTGTGTGTGTGTGTGTGTGTGTGTGTGTGTGTGTGTGTGTGTGTGTGTGTGTGTGTGTGTGTGTGTGTGTGTGTGTGTGTGTGTGTGTGTGTGTGTGTGTGTGTGTGTGTGTGTGTGTGTGTGTGTGTGTGTGTGTGTGTGTGTGTGTGTGTGTGTGTGTGTGTGTGTGTGTGTGTGTGTGTGTGTGTGTGTGTGTGTGTGTGTGTGTGTGTGTGTGTGTGTGTGTGTGTGTGTGTGTGTGTGTGTGTGTGTGTGTGTGTGTGTGTGTGTGTGTGTGTGTGTGTGTGTGTGTGTGTGTGTGTGTGTGTGTGTGTGTGTGTGTGTGTGTGTGTGTGTGTGTGTGTGTGTGTGTGTGTGTGTGTGTGTGTGTGTGTGTGTGTGTGTGTGTGTGTGTGTGTGTGTGTGTGTGTGTGTGTGTGTGTGTGTGTGTGTGTGTGTGTGTGTGTGTGTGTGTGTGTGTGTGTGTGTGTGTGTGTGTGTGTGTGTGTGTGTGTGTGTGTGTGTGTGTGTGTGTGTGTGTGTGTGTGTGTGTGTGTGTGTGTGTGTGTGTGTGTGTGTGTGTGTGTGTGTGTGTGTGTGTGTGTGTGTGTGTGTGTGTGCTGATTAGATTTTGGGCAGAGTCGGAACATCTGGGGGGGTACTTTATAGGTGGCCATTTTTATATTTTATGGAATATATCTGTTATTTACGTTTGGGGAAGAAAATTCTTTTAATAAAAGTTACTTCTTATTTTATTATCTATAATTTTTGTTATATACAAAATTTTCCTAAAATGGTCCGTATTCGAGAAATTTGACAAAATGTAAAAAAATATTTTTTTTTATAAAAATTGTTCAAACAAAAGTTGTTTGTAATATAATTCTCTATAATTTTTATCCCATAGATAATTTCTCTAAAATGGACCGTATTCGAGATATTTGAGAAAATGTGTAAATTTCGAAATTTGAAGAAAACTCAAAAACGGATAAAGAAAAAATCAATAAATTTTAAACTTAAGTTTTATTTCGGCCTGACGTGAAATGATTAGATTTTGGACAAAGTCGGAACATCTGGGGGGGTACTTTATGGGAGGCCGTTTTTATATTTTATGGAATATATCTGTTATTTATGTTTGGAGAAAAAAATTGTTCAAATAAAAGTTACTTCTAATATTATTATCTATAATTTTTGCTTTATGTAAAAATTTCCTGAAATGGTCCGTATTCGAGAAATTTGACAAAATGTGCAAAATTCGGATTTTTATGAAAATTGTTGAAATAAAAGTTGTTTGCGATATCGATCTCTGTAATATTTGTTCATACATGATTTTTTTTAAATGGACCGTAATAGAAAAATTGTAGGAAAAGTGCTAAATTTAAATTTTTCAGTATTTTCATTTTCAATGAATATCTATAGAAAAATATTTTGCGGTAGATGTATGTGGACAATGTATATATTTAGTTTATCCTCTAAACATTTATAGAGATGCTGCAATAGGTTGTACACAATAAACGGAAAAAGCCTGTAATAACTAGATAGGAAAGTCATGTGTTGGACACATCAGATTTTTTAATATATTTTACTAAAATTTGGTAAATTCATTTAATTTTTTAAACAGACTGTGAAAACAAACTATACGTTTTCTTTTATCATTTTAGAATGTAACAAAGCCATCAAGCAACTCAACCTAGACAAAGATGTTTCTTTAGATGACGACAGCAACATATGTACCTTAAACGAAGCAGCAACTACCTGCCTAGGTGACTCCGGTGGTCCTTTGTCCCAAGACGGAACCGTCATCGGTACTGTTACATGGTACGTTGATCCGTGCTATTTAAGCCGAGGTCCAAATGTGTACACCAAGCTATCTAATTTCGTGGAATGGATCGAAAAAACCATTGCTAAAAATAGTTAAATTGTATTTTTTTTTAAAATAAAGATATATTTAATGATATTGACTTGATAGAAGAAATGTTGAAGGTAATCATTGTTAAAAACACATTATTTAATATAAACCTGAATACGCCTCTGAACAGGTATGCGCTTGCATAGAAACGACACAGTGCCAGGTACATGTCTCACAATTTCAGTTTGATTAGCGATTGGTTTCGAAGTAGGTTACTTCATCTTCATTATAACATATCCATTACGGATAAGCTGTCATAAGCTACTAATGGTTACTGTGTCTAACTTTATATTAGGTGCAATTAGACACAGTGGCCATTTCGCTAAGGTAGTGGATTCTCATCCCCTATACGTGATTAAAAATAATAAATTTCCTATACGAAAACTGGTAAATAAGTGAGAACCAAATGCGCAATGAGATCAAAACCTAAATGATAGACGGTTTTTAGACGAGAAATATATTACTTACAATCAAATAAACACCAACAATATTTCTGGATAAACCAAATAATAAAAATTTTCCTTGCATTAACCGATAAAATCATAATCTATTGAAAACTTTAGATGTTTTTAAATTATAAAATTTGCGATTGATAAGATATAGTACTGATAATTAAACATAGATTTACATAGATAGATATTTATATGTAATTCCTAGAATCTCATTTTTATTATTATACTGATAACAAAGTGTCAATCAATTTTTAAGGACTGCACAATTCCAATAAATAAGACATTGCAATAAAATTATTTTGTCAGATGATAAAAAATGTTCAGTGCTAAAGTTCTATTTCTCGCTGCTGTAGCAGTATGCTATGGTAAGTAAACATTTATTGGTTCCTAATCAAAACCGGAGTTACTTTTAGTAGTAAAAATAAACGAAAACATTCGTTCGGGAAAACAGTGGTGTTCAGTAAACAACTATTTTATTAATCTCGTCAATATGTATTGTACACATAAAGATCGACCTTCCTGTACAAATAATACAGGTTTACAAAAAAAATATCCCGGACTATTTGACCAGACCATGGTATTCCTAAATCCAATCCCGGGGTCAGTTTTGCCCCACCACGTCAGAAAAACCAGATTTCAAGTCATTTAGAGGTCAAAATGGTAATTTTTTGGAACCGGCTCCGGGACAATTTCTCAAGCGATCTGTTATGTCGAGGGGTAACTGTGTAAAGGAAAGTAAATTTTATTTGACTACGTTACATATTACAATATATGTTTGTAGCAAGTGACAAAACGTACATATTAAAATAACAGCTTATTTAGACAAAATACAGGACTACACAACGAAATAACTACATACATATAATTGTTAAGTAGAATAAAATAACTCAAATTAAGTTAGGTGAGTATATATAAAAGATAAGAGAAAACAAAATAGAGTAGAAGGTTTAAGAACTATGTAAGTCTACACCGATAGATATATTCCTCCACGGAATAAAAACAATGTGTCAACAAAAATGTTTTTAATTTTTTATTTAATGAATTGAACTCCAGCAGCTCAAACTCGGATGACAATACATTATAAAGACCAAAGTCGAGGGAATTGTTTTTTGATTTATTTAGTCTATATCTATTTATTCTTAAGTTATTAGCTTATCTGGTGGGATATGACTGCCTAGAAAGACATGATAATTTCTTATGAATTTCCAAAAGGACACTAAATATGTAAATAGTTGCTGAATAAACAAGGGCTGACAATGTTCTCTAAATTTGGAACCAGTTATGATTCTAACAGCCTTCTTCTGCAACCGAAAAATCAAAATTGCATCTGAACTGTTACCCCAAAGTGCAGTGGTGTAATTTATGTGGGAATTGAATAGGGAAAAGTAAATCGTTCTTAATATGTTACGATCTGTTATAGTATTAAGCTGCCTCAACAGATATAAGGTACTGCATAATTTAGGTTTTAATTTATTTGTATGAATTTTCCAAGTTAAATTACTAACATAACTCCAAGTAACTTAGTACTATTGCAATTTTGAGAATCGGTAACCGAAGAAAACTGCAATTCCTGAGATTTATTTTGATTTAACATGAGATTGTTAGCTAAGAATCAATGTTCAGCTTTAGTGATAATAGTTTCTGCTGTATTTTTCAATTCAATTTCCTTTTTTGCAGAGTACACAAAAGTGGTGTCGTCTGCAAATAGAATAGATTTAAAAGGACCCATTTAATTACCTAAATCGTTGGTATATATAATAAATAATAATGGTCCTAAGAGAGAACCATGTGGAAATCCATGCTTAACCGAACTAAAATTTGACCTTTGGTTCTGAAATGTAACAGCCTGAAAGCGTCCAGATAAATAAGATTCTAAGAGTTTTAACGCACTTCCTAGTAATATAACTTCTCAATGAAGATGTCATGAGAAATGCAGTCGAAAGCTTTCGACAGGTCGCAAAGAGTAACTGCTGTGTGACTACGTTGCTCAAGGCCAGACACCACTCCATGAACAACATATATTACAGCAACATCTATTACAGCTTAAACCGTTAATTGGTTGGTTCGAAAACCATATTGAGTGTCACTAAAGTAGTTTTTTGACTCAAAATAACTATAAAGACGTGATTTAATGATTTTTCAACGATCTTGCTAAATACAGATAAAATTGAAATTGGACGATAGTTGTCCACGATATTCTTATCGTCCTTTTTATTAGATTGGTCAAAGGATCCAACAACAAATCAGTAGTTTGTTTTATAATTTTAACGTTTAGTTCATGAACGTCAAGAGAATTTTAGAGTTTTTTAAGGATTTCATTGTAATCAAAACTTCGTTTTGTGTGATTTAAAAAAAAAATGATCCAACTGATGTAGGTCTTGAATTTCCAAACATTGGAAACGCTCCCCAAATGTCAACCAGGACCAGCGCAGGGCCAGCCATGTGGATAAAATATTGTCATGATCGTTGTATCTCTTGCGAATTTCAATCTCCCTGCCAAGGCGTTCAATTTCGGCGATCCATTTGCTGTGAGATAATGCCAGTGGATTCAGCACTGACCCAAATGGCCCTAGAACCTTCTCAGAACATTGGAGTTATGCTCAAGTGGTTCCAGGTATTCGAGCTCGTGAATTTTGCTTCCCTTGCCAACACGTATAATTTTGGCGATTGATTTATCGTCAGTTAATGCTAGCACTTCTCGAAGTGTTCCTAGAACATGGTCCAAAAATTGGGTGAAGCTGAGTATACTGTCCGGGACAAACTAAGGTTGCAGAAAATGGTTAATGCTGGGTGGACGGTCATGAACTCACAGCAAATGCATCGTCGCAATCGACGCTTAGCAGTGAAATAGAAAGTCGCCAGTTAGTAACTTCTTGAGCCAGTTCTCCACCTTGTGCCAGTCCTGAGCGGGACACGAAGCATAACTCCAATGTTCTGGTAAGGTTCTAGGGCCATTTGGGCCAGTGCTGGATTCACTGGCATTATCTCACAGCAAATAGATTGCCGAAATTGAACATCTTGGCAGGGAGACTGAAATTCGCGAGATATAACGATCATGACAACATTTTATCTACATGGCTAGCCCTGCGCTGGTCCTAGTCGAGATTTGGGGACCGTTTTCAATGTTTGGAAGGGATTCACGACAGTTACCCCTCAACTTAGCAGATCGCTTGAGAATCGTGGCGATAATCCGCAAGTAACTCAGGAAGAGATTAGAAAGGCACTTGAAGGTACTAGACATTTTTCAGTACCAGGCCTCGATGGCATTAACAACTTTTGGTGAAAGTATCCATCCGCATCTTGCCAGAATATTCAACTCTTGGCCAAATGCAAACGAACCAATTCCTGAGTGGTTAGTCGAAGGAAGAACAACACTTATACCGAAAAAAGGCAACCTAGCTGAGCCAAAGAATTACAGGCCGATCACCTGTCTCAATTCCTGCTAGAAGATATTTACTCGTATCTTGTATTATAAGCTCTTGAGCTTAGTAGAACAGGTTCTGAATGACGTGGTAGAGCAGCGAGGCGGTAGGAAGGGATTTCAGGAATGTAAAGAGAACTTACTGATAGACAGGTGCATCACACAAGACTCAATCCAGTACAAGCGAAACCTGTCAATGGCTTGAATTGATTACAAAAAAGCGTTCGACAGTGACATTTAAGAGAGGAGTTTTTCAGGGTGACTCACTCAGTCCCCTGCTATTCTGTATATCGGTAGCTCTTCGCCAAATTCGCGGATATCAATGTGGCACACCTGGGAATCGCACACACAAAGTCACACATTTGTTTTACATGGACGACCTCAAGGTCGATGCTATGAGCGACCGAGATTTGCAACAATCTCTGGATGTGGTGCAAGAATATACACGGGATATCGGTATGGAATTTGGATTGGAAAAATGTGCGGTTCTGAGACTTCAGAAAGGCCGTTGCGCATACCAGCCTGAGAATGATGAGATGAGATGACGAAACAAGTATCTTGGTGTTGATCAAGACCGAATGCATGACACTAACAACGTCAAAAAACGCTCCGTAGTACGTATAGGCAGCGTTTCCAGAAAATATAGGAATCCCAGTTTTCCGGAATCAACAAAGTTTCTCCACTAATATGCTTGCCGTTCCTGTGCTCTTGTATTCATTTGGCGTGCTCAAGTGGAGGCGAGAGGAACTATGGGAACTGGATGGAAGCACACGCAAGATGACGCATATGAACAAAAGCATCCACCCACGCTCATCGGTCTCACGCATTTACCTTCCACGCCATCAAGGGGGCAGAGGTCTTCTGAGTCTGGAGAGGTTGCATGATAGATTAACTGTGAGTTTGGCTTGCAAGGTAGCCAATAGTGCCGATCCACTACTGCAGCTGGTTCGAAACCATGAAATAACTTGTATCGGGGCTTTTCTTTTTAAAGTTGTAGGTAAAGTGGCAGATAAACTAGGTTTCAGATTTGAAATAGATGACAATCAATCTCTTACAAGGTTGGAACGTTAAGGCGAATTTTTTACACACAATAATTGTGAAATAGAGTTTTTATTTATATATACAATTTAACAGATTAAACTAGACCTATGGTTTATTTAGGAGCACCAAATACCAAAATCACCAATCTGCGCCTCGGTCT